CCCAGGCGGGTCTCGAACCCGTGGGCTCAGGCAATCCACTCACCTCAGCCTCCCAAAGCACAGGATTACAGGCTGAGCCACTGAGAATGGCTAATAATATTTTCAAAGTCTGCTTCTGAAAAAAATGATCATTAAAAATTTTCATAGGCCAAGCGTAGTGGCTCACATCTGTAATCTCAGCATTTTGGGTGGCTGAGGCAGGAGAGCTGCTTGAGCCCGGAAGTTTGAGACCAGCCGAGGGAACATAGCAAGACCTTGTCTGTACAAAAAAAATTTAAAAATTACCCCAGGTATGGTGGCTTATGCCTGTAGTCCCTGCTACTCAGGAGGCTGAAGTTGAAAGGATTGCCCAAGCCCAGAAGGTTGGGCTGGGGTGAGCTGTGACCATAATACTGCACTCCAGCCTGCACAACAGAGTGAGACTCTGACTCAAACAATTAAAAAATAAATAAAAACATGTATATAGGAGCATGCATTTTTCCTTGGGGCCAGTGTAAGCATGGAGGGGAGAGGATTGAGGCTGGGGGACCCATGAGGCGTAGGCTATGTCTTGTTACCCAACAAACCCGGGGTCTGCAAAGTGAGGGTCTCAGCAGGTCTGTGCTGTTAGCTAAGAACACACAATGTCTGCACCAAGCCCAGACTGCAGAGGAATGTTAATGGACTGAATTTGCAGAACCTGTGGCCAATTGGGAAGATATCCACAGGCAAACAGACACTCAGGGCTGGGCAGAAAGCTGAGTGTAGGTGGCATCCTCAGTGTCCAGGTGGGAGTGGGGGAAGCTGTGAACCTGTGGGGGATGGAGAAGAGAGAGTGAGGGCACCCAGGCCTAAGCACGGGAAGAACACTGGATGGGTTAGGGAGCCCAGCACACATGCAAGTAGCCACACCGGTGCTGCTCAGAAACCTGAAGCGAGGATGGGGCTCTGGCCAGTGGCTGGGTGGGCTTGGGTTGTTGAACTGGTGCTGTTCATTTCTATTAAGGACTCTCTCCCTGCAGCAGTTTGTTGGAGTGGGGTGGGGCAAGGGGTAGGGATTTTGTGGGCAGAGGATAGGAGGCCCTGAGAAGCTGCAAGTGTTAGGCTTGAGAGGGGGGAAGCCGTCAGGAGGGTGAACTAATAACGATGCTTTCCGCATAGGCACCTTGTCTTGGAAGAAAGGTAACTAGTTCCCCAGCCTTCCTGGGCAAGGGACAGAGAAGAGCCCAAACAACATGCAGGGACTAGACCCCACCCTCAGGGAGTCCCCTCCCACACATGGTATCACCCCAGGGTCTGGGATTTAGGACCAGCACTTCTGGATCCTGTGGGCTTGGAACACTGCCTGGCTTCAAGCTGCCCTGCCCGTGGTTAGCAGATGATGAGGAGGTGGGCCTGAGTCTCCCAGCCTGAAGCCAGCTCAGTCCTACTCTCCACAGCAGCATCATTACACCCTAAGGAGCAGGATCATTGGATGCTTGATGACTGGTTCACAGTCCAGGACAGAGAATCAGAGAGAGATGGCTCAGAGTTGGCACAGTGGCCACACCCCAGTCTTGTAGGTGCGAAGTATTTACTGTGAGCACCTTCAGTCACCACTATTCGTGCCTGACCTACAACTTCAAGGTGTTCTTGAGGGCCCCCACAGCCTTTCAGCTCTGGCTCTGGCGGGACTAACCTGGCCCAGCCACTGGCCAGAGATTAGACAAGCCTGGTGGAGGGTTAATGCCGCTGACGTCAGGGCCTGGCTGGATGGCCACCGGGGGTTTGGGCCCTCCCCACAGGCAGTAGCACAGTCCATGTGACCAAGGCTCATTAAGCCGCTTCAGTGGCCAGAGAAGCTAGGGGCCAGATATCAGGGGAAAGAGGGCGGGCATACCATGGCTGCCGGGACAGGCCTTGGCCACGAGGTCACCAGCTCTAGGGGCCCAGGCCAGGGAAAGGCTAGATAGGAGGGTTGCCTCTGGGTCCTCTCCTACTTCCACGCCCAGTATTGCGACACTAACCCCCTGCTCATGCCCAAAGAGGAGCCTCCCATGTACTAAACTGAGCAGAGTATAGTGAGGAGCTGGGGCATGGGTTCTCAGCCCTGGGGTGTGGTGAGATCCTCCCTCCCCTATGAGGCCTTCAGACCAGCATGACTCCAGAACAAACGTCCTGCCCTGTGTACCCAGTCCCCCACCTACCAGTGCTAATCCCACACTCGAACTCCTTTCCCTTTGGTCAAGCTGCTTCCTCCACCCAGAGTGCCCTTTCTCTTCCCCACCCTGGCAACTGCCTTCCTTTGCCACAGCCAAACCCACAGGCTGCTTCTCCACCAGGCTTTCCTTGATTCATGCCCTCCAATCTGGCAGGAGCTTTCCCATCTAGACTACCCGTAGATGACACCTAAAGACACAGAGGCCGGGACTGTGTGGGTAGGATGGCAAAAGCAGCCACAGTACACGTTGGAATAGCTGGCTCTTGCCAATGATGCAGGCGGGGTTCTCAATGGTGATGTTCTATGTGGGTACTGAAGGACAAGTAGGAGTTTGCTGAGGAGGTGGGATGGGGTAAAGAACCTCAGATCAGCCAGGCTTGGTGGCTCAGGCTGTAATCTTGCGCCTTTGGGAGGCTGAGGTGAGTGGATTGCCTGAGCCCATGGGTTCAAGACTCGCCTGGGCAACTTGGTGAGACCTCATCTCTATAATAAATCAAAAATCAGCCGGGCATGGTAGCACACGCCTGTAATTCCGGCTACTCGGAAGGCTGAGGCAGAAGGATCGCCAGAGCCCAGCAGGTTGAGGCTACAGTGGCCGGGAGCGGCCACTGCACTCCAGTCTGGGTGACAGAGTGAAACTCCGACTCAAAAAAAAAAAAAAAAAGAACCTCAGGTCCTGGGAACCATGAAGGCAGAAGCACACGAGCATGAAGGCTGGCATGGTCTGCGAACAGTGGGAACATGTGTGTGGCCAGCTGGGCAGTGAGAAAGTTGGGGGATATCAGGAAGGTCAGTGAGATGTGAGAACAAGAGCCTGCAAGGTGTCTGAGGAGTCAGTGGATATAGATGCTGGACTCTGGAAAGACAGTTGGAGGCAAAGATGGGGCATCACTGTTGGAGACCATCTTGGGGCACTGTGTGGATGGTGTGCCAGCGAGACAGGGCTGCCTAGCTGGAGGCTGGGAGTTCATGACTGGAGAGGGAGGAGGAGAGCAAAGAATTGCCGGGGCCCTGGAAGGAGGATCTGAGGGATCCTGGGATCCTAAGTTCTGGCCCATGTGTCTGGCAGTCTCTTGAGCCTGTATTTAGTTTGCAGAGATAGGGTAGTAGAGGCGGGGCTGGGCTAAAGCCTAAAATAAAGCTTCCCTCACCACCCCAGGTGGCCACCCCCAACTCTATGGTTGCATGGATGGACAGTCCCTCCAGCCTCTAGGAGAAGGCGCCTGGCAGCTCTCAGAGCCTCTTCCCAGCTATCCAGATGACCGGCCACCACAGGCTGGGCTGGGAGATTCGGCAGGTGGCGGGAAAGGCCTCTGAGCTGTGTTTGCCCTGGCTGGGGTCCAGGCCTAGCAACAACAAACAGTCAGCCCCTCCTCCTGCCTGGCCACAACTGGCCTGGCCCAGGGACCCCACATCACACCCGCCTCTGGGCCTCCCACAGCAGCCCAGCCCAGTCAGCCCCTGCTCCCTCCAGATTCAACTGAGGACCCCAACACCCACACGCCAGGTGACCTTGAGCCAGGCCTAGTCTCTCAGCAACGGTCAGTGGGAACCACCAGCCCTTTGCAAGTGGAACTTGTGAGCATCCAGGGTGTCTGCAGGTGGGAGGCTGGGAGGAGGGGGCAGACCTGAGACTGCTCAGCACCTCTCCTATCTGGCTCTGCCACAGGAAAGAGTCATGCCCTTTTGGAGGATGGCAGTCAAGGTGAACTCTGACCTGGGGGTGACACCAGCTACAGATCAGGAGGGAAAGTCAGTGCCTTCCTATTTTCAAGCCACTAGCAGGAAAGAAGCTTGGGTGGTCTGAAGTTTCCAGGGGTTGCCACCCTCCCAATGCCATTCTTCTTAGTCCTCCCAACCCCTGGCACTCTCAGCCTGAGCTGAGTCCCTGCCCTTGATTCACAGCTTCTGCTTCACCCACTCCCCTCAGGCCAGGAGAAAAGATGGAGCTATTTCCTTGTGACACAGAGGGAAACTGAGATATGCTAGGGCTTGGCTGTGGTGGTTCTGTGAGTCAGCAGGAGAGAATCCTGGAGTCCTGACTCCCAGCCCAGGGCAGGGGAGTGGTTTTGCCTGTCTTCTAAGAGCATTTCTCCCAGCACCAGGAAGAGGGGCAGATGACACAGAGAAGTTCAGCCTGGAACAGCAGAGGCCACGAGATTAATCGGATCAGAGCCAGTGGCTGAGAAGCAAGGGGCACAGCTGTTCGGGGAACTCCCCCTCCCAGTTCACCCCGAAGGTCAGCATCTCCTCCAGCTTCCTAGTGGCCGGACCTGGGACCTTAACACCCACCACCCACTTCTGAGCACCAAGGCCCTAGAAGGGAAGCAGGCAGGGGTGGGATAAGAGCCTCCAGCCAAGAATAGGGCCATCCTAAAAACTCATCCCTAGGGCACCAAGTCCTAACTGCCACCGTCTCCTACCCCTGAGAAGTAAGCAAACTGGGGCATGGTCAAGGAGGCCGCAGGCAAGGCTCAGAGTAAGCCAACCCTTGCTGGCCTCCTGCTCTCACTGCCTCTGCCCCTCCCTGTTCCAGTCTCAATCTCTTCTGAATATCTGGGCTGAAGACAGAATTGATACAAGAGGCCCTCCCACCTCACCCCATCCCACCCTTGGTTGGGAAGGGTGAGGCAGGCAGAAAAGGCATTTTGTCGCCTGAGTGATGTCTAAAAGGAGGAGCTGGGTTCTGGCCCCCTTCACGAGGTTAAGCATCGGCCTCTTCCCACTCCTGGCTTCGAGGGCGTGAGGGCAGAGCACTTCAGGGGTTAAAGGTGACGCCCAGAGACCTCAGAGAGATTCGGCTTTGGACAGAAGCGTTCCCCCTCAAGACTCGGCCAGTCCTTCCCGGAGCTACCTCGGGGCTCCCCAGCGCTCAGGCTGCCCCTTTGCTCCAGGCCGCCCGGGCCCAGCCCCTCCTTCCGCGGGCCGCCGGGGATTGGCGGG